CACTACAGTCGTATTCTTTTGTACATCCTAAGCTCATTGAGGACATAATTTTTTCCCACTCTCCAATATCATCAGAGAAACATATCTCCCAAAATAAATGAAGTAATGGGATTCATTATTTATTTTAACTTATTCCTGAGTGTCTTAATATTTTTTGACTTGAGAGAAATATTAATTTCTCTTATTTACATCATGTGATATAAAATAATGAACAGTATAATGGGTTTGGAGTCTGGAAAACCAGTGGGAGAATAATTAACCTTAATATACCTTGTAATTTACTAATGCTGAGCCTTGTGATTTATATTTTTAATGAGAACAATAATAAATAGCTCCAGGAACATTGTGGATATATAGATAATATAGTTGTGCTGGTGATTCTCTCTTTGTCACCTTACATGTCTTTTCCTCGCTACCTTGCTTTGTCCACCTGGAATTTAACCTTTATAGACTGCATCAATAGAACTCTTTTGGTAACTACTACCCAGCTGAATTTGGACAATAAAAGAAATGAGCAGAATGTCAGAGGTGGAAGGAAGAGAATAATAGCTCAATTTCCTTCTTATTCACTATAGCTTCACAATAAAAGTGCTAGAGTGCCTGAGTCCTTCCAACAAACTTGTGCTGATATTGTTTTGGGAAGAAGATGACCAGTAACTAGCTCTAGCTCTCCCTAGTAACTAGTAACAATAGCCACTGCCAGGCAAAAAACAGAACTAGAAGTAGAAATATACCACAAATAGAAACATGTAAGTAAATAATAATTTTAAAATTAATAAAAGATATGAGAAAACTAGATTGTAGTTTATGATGCAAGGTTATTTGGGCTGAAGCTAACAGACAAGTGGTAAGGCAATGTCTTTCAAGGTAGGTGTTATTAGAAGAGAAACTAAATGAAGTGATGAAATGAGACACAGGTCTGAGGAAAGAGCATTCTCAACACAGGAACAGTATGAGCAAAGGCCCTGAGGTAAGGACGTGCTCAGAATTTCAACAGACATCTACAAGGTCAACATGGCAGGAGAAGAAGGACTGAAAAATGGTTGAAGACTGGAAGGGGGAGATAAGAACTGCCACAGAAGATCTTGTACCTTCTGGTAAAAAGTTTAAATTTTTGCACAAGTATGATGGAAATTCTTGGACTATTTTACCAAGGCAGTAACATGATGTGATCATGTTTATAAAAGATCGTTGGTGCCCTGGCTGGTGTAGTTCAGTGGATTGAGCTTGGGCTGTGAACCAAAGCATCACAGGTTCGATTCCCAGTCAGGGCACATGCCTGGGTTGCGGGCCACGTGAGAGGCAACCACACATTGATGTTTCTCTCTCTCTCTTTCTCCCTCCCTTCCTCTCTCTAAAAAATAAATTGATAAATTTAAAAAAATATATCATTTCAATTGTGGAAAAAGGAAATTCATTGTAGCAGCTCATATAAGATATAATTTTGTCTTAGATCTTACTGATAGCAAAGAAAATGCTGACAAGCTGTTTCAAGATTCAATATGTAATATCTGAAAGTGGAGTAGATGGGACTTTTAAATATAAAGTGTGACATCAAAGTATGACAAATTAAAATATGAATATGCAATATATATGAAAGATGAAATCAATTGGTATAAAAAGACATTATTGAGATAAAAGAGTATATTAGGTGAAGAAACAATACTTTGTAATTCTGCAATGTATACTATAATTGTATGAACTTAAAAAGACAGTTGTTGCTTTGGATCAAAGGAGATGGAAGGGACAGAACGCCAAATAACGGGGAGAAGTTAACTGCTGTTGGAGACTTAGTAATCTATGCGGAAAAAAAATGGAACCTGAGTAAATATACTACAAGCCCTGCAGAAGTAGATGCTACTGAATGAAGATTTGCCTTCACTGACAGTGGTAGAACCAGTCTACAGAGAGTCATCCATTCCTCCTATACCCTGATCAAGCATTTTTGTCATGATCAGACTGTGGCAGTAGACATTTTGAAAATGAAGGATTCCAATTCCATAGCTTAATTAGGGACACCTATGAGCTAAGTCAAATTCCATGTGTGCTATTCCAGTTAAAGTAGGAGTTGCTCCCACCCCAATTCCTAACAAACAAATAAGTCTAGCTTTAGGTAGCACTGAAGAATCTCAACTTATTCAGAAGCACAGTGCTTTTAAAGGGAAAAATAATAGCAGTTAGAATATTGCTATAGAACAGTTTTGAACCCCTGCTTCTTCCTACTTTTGTATTTAAGTCCTAACATTATTAAATAAAATCCTTTCACTTTAAATGACAGGATCTGGATGATCTTAGAAATATGCCATTTTTTTTACCCTGGCTGTTGTAGCTCAGTGGATTGAGCACTGGCCTGCAAACTGAAACATCTCCTGTTCGATTCCCAGTCAGAGCATATGACTTTGTTGTCCCCAACAACAAAGAGAGGTCCCTGGTTGGGGATGTGTGAGAGGCAACCAATAGATGCCTCTCTTCCTTGTCCTCTCTCTAAAAATAAATAAATAAAATATTTTCTAAAAAGAAATATGCAGTTTTTGTTTGTTTTCTTGCTCATAAAATTAATAGTTTGTTATCATAGAAAATTAGTACACAGATATAAAGAACAAGTCTTACTTTTTGTTAATCCCACCATTTTGCAAAGTTATCATAATGTTGTAAACTTCTTTTTCCACAAAAACCTATATAAAGTGATTTGCCCTTGCCTTAACTGGGAACTTCCTCATTTTACTGTCTGGATAAATTTAAATGCAAATGTCTATCATGTGACAGTCACTCTTCTTTATGATCCCACTGTTATAGGGGACCCAGTTATGTACAAGCAGCCTCTGTTCCATCAGCCAGCGTCCAGCCAGTTATTCAATTCAGGCTGGCCTCACTTTGCACAATGCTGTGGGAACTGAGATCCATGCTAAACAAGGACATGTTTCTAATCTGCACAACATGGTACCTTGCCAAGTGACGGCTGCCTGTGTTTAATGTATCACTAGCTTCCTTTTTCTTCGTTTTAAAATGAACATGACAATAAAAATCTCCTTCCAAGTATCTTTAATTGTTTTACTGTTGTTCAATTACAGTTGTCTGCATTTCCCCACCACCACCCCAGCCATCCAAAGTATCTTATTAGGCTTTCAGCACATTGTTAAAATTTGAATATCTGAGCAAAAGTATACAAACACTCATAAGACTCCTTGAAACATAATGTTAAATTGATTCCCAGGAAAGCTGCATATTATGTCTTTGCCTTAAGCCCTGTCCATTGTTTTGCACAGCTATGTTAACACGCCTTTGGAATGCCAGAGTAAGCTTCTTTTTCATACCCCTGGGAAATGTAACCACCCTCTAAGGAGCACAGACTCTTATTGAGTCAGTACCTGGCTTTCTTCCACTCTCATGTAATCTTCCTTATGTCCCTTCCTTAATTCCAAAGGTATAAATAAATTGCAAAACTGCCATTCTTCAGAGCATTTGAGATCCTGCTTCCTGGAAATGTCATCAGCATGGCTAAAATAAACTTTTACAAAAATTCTGTACAGGTTTGGATGCTCTCAGTTGACAACCCGATAAACATTTGAGCCATTTCAGGCAACTGTACTTTCTAAAAAGATTCACCCTTGACTGCATTGCAATAGCTCTAAAAGTATATAAATTTGAGGCTACGATGTGAAAAGTCTGTGAGAGAATAAATGAACCTATGTATGAGAAAGAGAGGGAGACCTGGAGGGCCAGGTCCATGTTAGTTTGAATTAACTTTGTGTTCCTTCATGGAAAAAGTCCTGAATACTCTGTTATTATATGTTGAAATCGCATCTGTGTAAAATTACATACATAGGACACTGAGATAGCATCTGTTTATTAAAATCTTTAGTTACAAAAAAGATAAAACAGCCTATTTTTAAAAGAATAAAACATTATCAAACAGATCCCAAAGTTTTCTAACACTGACTTTTTGAAATTGTGGTTACTGGATACTCTACATTTCAGATGCCAGAAGCAACAGTTTGTCTTCCAGCACCCTGCACCTTCAACTGCAATGACCCTTTCTTAATTTTAAAACTTTTATTGATGGTTTATTTTAGAGCCATGGAGATATGAAGATAAATATAAAGGGTTTTTTTTTTTCTTAAAGAGCTTTATCTATGTCAGGAAACAGTACAATGTATTTTATTATTTTTCTGTAAGAACTTGATTAAAGTTGCAATATCTCTAAAGTCAGAGAAATGGGCATGGGTCTGCTTTGGGAGGGACAACAGAGGGTCAGGAGAATCATAGAGGAGATACTACATGTGCTGTGTCTTCAAATATGAGAAGGTCTCCTGAAAAAATAATTAGATGAACAAGAACCATTTGATAACCAAAAATATGTGTTTTAATATTCAATGTCTGAAAAGCAGAATAAGGGAAGGTTAAATGTTTAGATCTTATCAAAAAACATAGGCAGTATCTGAAAGCAAAATTATTACTTAGTCTTTTTTAAGTGGCTGCTTTTACACTAGGATACACTAGTCTTTCAATGACAAAGGGATATGCTAGGATCACACCTAGTATATTAAACCCAATCCCGCACCGTTTAAAACATTTTCCGTTGACATGTCTGTGGTCATTTTCTGTAAGAAAATCTAGTCCTACTGGGGAGATAACCCAGTTATGAAAATACCAGTTAAACCAACTGAAAGCTTTAAACTTGTGCCAATTAAATTGAAGGTAGCAGTAAAATAAATATGTGTTGTTATTTGCTAAGGCATTAGGGAAAGAATGTCCAACTTGCCCTAGCTCTTTAAACTTAAACTGCTTACTCATTCAAAGATCAAACAACATGACACTGTGTCTTCAAGAATTACAAAGAATGTCTCTGCTAAGTCCCAGAAACTTCTGCTCCATCAACTTTATTTCTTGTTCTGTGATTCCCCCTTATATTTACACAGCAATTTGTTCCCATTATTCCCTCAGCAGTCTAAATTACTTGTCCAGGTTAAAAACATTTGGCTTTGGCACCTCTATTGGGATTAAGTTCTGATACTGTTTTCTAGTTTGTTAGGGATAAGAGCAGTCACTAAGCCTGGTTTTAGTTCTCTGATCATATTCTGGCTTACCCTACTCCTCATCACCTGTTCTCTTGAGTTACAAACACCACCATCTAATTACAGTCAACAAACAAAGACAAAAATGGAGTCATTCCTCCCACCACTCAATCTTTCTCTGTCCCACCTACTTTTTTACTAGGCTTTACACCTCTGAATAGGGACATTGGGTTATTTTCAAGCACATAGACTCAGTGAAATAAGTGGAATTTATACAGAATAATCATGTTCCCCATGATGCCTGGGACATTTGGTCCAAATCCACTATCAGAAAAAAAAAACAAACTTCATTGTAGAATGCAATGGAGCCACGGTGAATGAAGGTAAACTTGGTTATTTTTATGTTCTCTCAGTGCGCTAAAATTCCGTGCTTTGTGATTCTAAGTACAGAAGTGAAAAGAGGTTGTTTTAAAAATTTTTCCTAAAGAAGCTTTGACCTCCTTGTTTCTAAGACTATAGATGAGAGGATTTAACATGGGGATGACCACTGTATAAAACACAGACACCACTTTGTCTTGATCCATTGAGTAGCTGGAGCTGGGGCGCAGATACATGAACAGGATTGTGCCAAAGAAGATGGTAACCACCATCAAGTGGGATGCACAGGTAGAGAAGGCTTTGTGCCTTCCCTCGGCAGAATGGATCCTCAAGATGGCAATGAGGATGTAGAGATAAGAAATGAGAATAGTCAGAAGGCAACTCAACTCATTAAAACTGGCGAAAGCAAAAATGACAACCTCATTGATATGGGTGTCAGAACAAGAGAGTTTCAGGAGGGGTGGAGTGTCACAGAAAAAGTGATTGATGACATTTGAATGGCAGAAAGACAGTTGGAAGGTGAAGCCAGTGTGAATGGAAGCATTTATAAAGCCTGCAAGATACGTGGCCAACACCAGAAGGACATTAAGACGGGGAGACATAGTAACTGTGTAGAGAAGAGGCTTGCAGATGGCCACATACCGGTCATAGGCCATCACGGCCAACAGGAACCCTTCAATACCAGCAAAGGAACCAAAAAAGAAGAACTGTGTGGCACATTCATTAAATGAAATGACTGGATTCTCCACCCAGAAATTCACCAGCATATTAGGGGCAATAACAGAAGAATAACAGAAGTCAACAAGGGACAAGTTACTGAGAAAAAAGTACATTGGAGTGTGGAGACGTGAGTCAATCTTGATTAACAGGATCATGCCAAGATTTCCCAACACAGTGATGATATAGATGACTAGAAACATCATGAAAAGAAGAGATTGTAGCTCTGGATGATTGCTGAATCCCAGGAGAATAAACTCAGTCACTTTTGAATGGTTGCTCATACCTTTGCCTCAGAATGGGTCATTCATATGCTGTGATAAGAAAGAAATCAAAGAAATAAATTATAAAAAAAACAATACCAGGAAAACTGAATAGCTCATTCTTGGCTATAAGTAACATTGCTTCTAAGATGTCTTGGGAACATATGCATTAAACTTTTTTATTTTCTTATTGCAGTAAAAAAAAAGTTTCCTTAAATAAACTCAGTAGCCTATTTTGTTTAAAATGTAATGTGTGATACTCTGGTTTCTCTTCAGATCATATAAATCTTTTGCCTTTTAAAATGCAATGTGTGTATGCACATGTGTTTATGTTAAGTCTTTAATGATTGACCCTGGTTTGTCCATATCCTACCTTCTGACTTTTCTCTCCTCCTCGCTTGATCCTTTCATCTTCATCTGCTATTATCCAATTCCCTTGTTCTTTCATTGGCAATTAAAAATATGATACAGTGATACAGCTGAATATACTTGCTGTATCCTTTTCTGTTTCCCAATTTTCTGTTAAGCCCACTCAAGTCAAGCTTTAACCACATTACTCCACAGAAACTGCTCTTGTCAGTCATCAGGGATCCTTGTTACCAAACCCAGTGGTCAATTCCCAGTCTTCACCTTCTTAATCTGTCAGTAACATTTGACAGAGTTCATTGCTTACTACTTGAAAGACTTTCTTCTCTCATCTTCCAGAACACGAGACTTTGACTTTTCTTCCTACCTGATTTGCTTCTTTTCAGTTTTCTTTGCTTATTTCACCTCTTCTCCATGACTCTTAAGGTTGGAGTAGCTCAGAGCTCAGTCCTGATTCTTCTTCTCTTTCTATTTATACTCATCTTTTGTGGCCTTATTCAGTCTCATGGCTTTACATATCATCTATATACTTACAACACCTGAATTTAAATCTCCAGCCCTGACCTCTCTTCCACTCTCCATACCTATAATCAACTTCTTACTCACATATCTGCATTGATACTAAATAATAACTCAACATGACCCAGAATTGAAGTCTTTATGTTCTTCCTTAATTTGTTCCAAAAATTAAATCAATGACAGCTCAGTACTTCCATTTGCTCAAATGAAGACAAGTAAATATTGGAAAAATTGATCTCTTTTTCACACAATCCATCACTGTTCTAACAGATAATTATGTTGGTTCTATTTTCAAAATATCTGTATCAATAAGACGATTAGCTCCCACCACTTGAATTCCTACAACCAAGGCCCAAGCCAACAACATCTTCTTTCACTTAGATTATTGCAATAGTCTTTTAACTAATCTTTCTGTCTCTAAAATTAGTTAAATTCTTCCTTCCTAATCACTTTTAAATTTTTGCAGCCATTTCATAGAGCTCTGCTTTATGTGTATGTATACAAACACACATTACATATATAAAAAATATAAATTGATATAAATAGAATTATATTCTCTATGATATATATGATCCTATATGTGTATATACATATATAAATATGTATAATGAAGTTTGAAAATTATAAGCATTTTCTCAGTTTATACATATAAGAGCATAAAATTATTTTATTTAATGCCCTTCATAAGGCATTGTGTATGCCAGGTGTTTTGGCACTCTTTCTACAGAAAATTAATTAAACTTACCTGTTTTGCACACACATAAACACACTTACATACACACATAGATATACATGTATACATACATTCATATGTGTATGCATATATTCTCTGAAATTCTCTGAAATTCATTCTGTGAAATTTTCTGCTTCTAATGATTCTAAATTTCTTCTGAAAAAAATGTCACATTAGTGTAGTTGGTAACCAAAATTCACTGTTTCAGACATATTACAATTGAGATGTCTAGTCTTAACTTGAATTTTTTTGAGTCCTCTTGGAAACTTTCTGTATCTGAACACTGAGATAAATTGAAAATTAAATCATCTTACCTTTTGTCCTTAAGAAATATTCACTGGAAATAGTGGTGGTTACTAGTTTACTTTTGTTTTATTTGTTTTTTGGGAGAATACAAGTTTTCTGTCTCTTAATGTGAAGTTTATAGCTTTGATGAAAATGGAAGTGGCATAAAGGAATCAGCTATGATAGAATTAAGTCATGAATTCAACAAAGAGTAGAAAATGTTACTGCTGAATCTAAGCCAGAAGGTCAACCTTATTAAAGACATGATCATTCTCATGAGATTTGTTCTCTGTGGAAGTCTAAGGCTAGAAATGTGCTGATTCAAAATGAAAACATGCATTTATTTTTCACTGACGTAATTGAACTACATTCTCCCCTGGGAATCAAGTATACCCTGGGAGGTAACTTAGGCATTTAGAGAAATACAAATATTGCTTCAAGATCCTGAGATTCCATTGAACACAACAATGAATTAAATTGCACAGGATTGACCAGATCCTGCCTCCAAACTTCAGAATTCCATTCAAAATATGATCCCTACTCATCTCTACTAGAGTATGGCTCTCATTGCATTCATTAATTGATTCATTAAATAAATGTAGTGAATTTGTTTTATGAAGCAGACAATATCCTTGGTACTGGTAGAGTTGCCAACAAAATCATTCTTGTGACTTCCTCATGCAGCATGCAGTTGCAGTTGGGCAAGAACAGCTATTACAGGATCATATGAAAGAATGAAGTCCAAAGCCTATTTATGTCCTACAAGGCTTATGTGACCTGCTGATCCTTCACAACTCTTCTGATTTTATTTTTCTCCTACCATTTGCTCACTCTGGTCCACATGTATTTGCCTCCTTACCGTTCCTTTAGCAAACCAAGCAGAATCTTGCCCCAGGGTCTTTGTATTTACTGTAGCATACTTAGAATGCTTATTCACAGACATTCACATGATATTATCATTATTTAGATATAGCTGAAATGTTATTCCACAGGGAGCTCTTCTCTGACTTCACCATTCCCTATTCTATTTCCTGCTTTATTTGTATGCAAAGTACCACTCATATCCATGTCAAACACACACACACACACACACACACTCCTGTGCATATATGCACACACATTTGGTATAAATAATAAAGTCTCCCTAACTTAAATATATGTTTCATGAGATGAAGAAACTTGTGTTTTCTTGCCTGCTATATCTCCATTACATGTCGCATTTTAGATTTTTCATTAATAAATTTTTAAAATTACTTTATTATTGTTCAGTTACAGTTGTCTGCATTTTCTCTCCACCAGTCCCCCCAACCCCAGCCAAATCTACCTCCCTCCTTGCTTCCACCCTTTCCCTTGGTTTTGACCATGTGTTCTTTTTTTAATATATTTTATTGATTATGCTATTACAGTTATCCCATTTTCCCCCTTCACTCCCCTCTATCCTGCCCACCCCCTCCCACCCATATTCCCCCACTTTAGTTCATGTCCATGTGTCATAAGTTCTTTAGCTTCTACATTTCCCATACTATTCTTGCCCTCCCCCTATATATTTTCTACCTCTTGTCTATGCTACTTATTCTGTATATCTTTTCCCCCTCTCTCCTCCTCCCACTTCCCTGTTGCTAAGCCTCCATGTGATCTCCATTTCTGTGGTTATCTTCCTGTTCTATTTGTTTGCTTAGTTTGCTTTTGTTTTAGGTATGGTTGTTACTAACTGAGTTTAATGTCATTTTTTACTGTTCATATTTTTTATCTTCTTTTTCTAAGTCCCTTTAACATTTCATATAATAAGGGCTTGGTGATAATGAACTCCTTTAACTTGGCCTTATCTGAGAAGACTTTATCTCCCCTTCCATTCTAAATGAAAGCTTTGCTGGATAGAGCAATCTTGGATGTAGGTCCTTGCCTTTCATGACTTGGAATACTTCTTTCCAGCCCCTTCTTGCCTGCAAGATCTCTTTTGAGAAATCAGCTGACATTCTGATGGGAACTCCTTTTTAGGTAACTATCCCCTTATCTCTTGCTGCTTCTAGAATTCTCTCCTTCATTTTTACCTTGGGTAATGTAATTATGATATGCCTTAGTGTTACAGAGCAAACAATGGGGGGCCTGAGACGATATAAAGAATCCCCCAGGTCCATTATGTCTGCCACCAGAGGAAAGATGTCTCTCAATGCCAGAGATTTGTGAAAAGGAAAGGAAATGTTTATTTAATGCTATACAAACTTAAAGTAGGGTCCTAATGTCTTCACTAAAAATCCTAAAGTCCCTTAAAGCACCCACAAACAGACACAGTCCTTCCTTCCTTCCCCCTTTGCCCAGTCCAGAGTACCTATCTCCTAAAGCTGCGGGGGTCCCTACTCTGGCAAAGGCACGTGGTCCTCTCTCCCCAGACCACGGGAGTCCCCACTCTGCCAGAGCCGCGTGGTTCTCTCCCTCAGGGCCGCGAGAGTCTTCACTCTGCTAAAGCTGTGTGGTTCTCTCTTGCAGGGCTGCGCACGGTTCTCCTCCTTCAGGGCTGTGCATGGTTCTCCCCCTCAAATGGCTGCTGCATCTCGGTTTAAATCCCAGCGCCAATCTTCCTCTGAAGCCCCATTTCCAGCTCCTCTCACAATTGGCTACAGCTGCCAGATTCTGGGCAGGTGTGGCCCTGTGGTGTGGAGCCAATTATCTCCAGGATCTTCTGGATCTTATTACAGATTCCTATTTGAGGCTCCCCTCTTGGCTGCACCCTGTTACATTAGTGTGTTCCTCCTTGGGTCCAACCTCTTTGGGACTCTCTGAGCTTCCTGGACTTCCTGGAAGTCTATTTCCCTTGCCAGATGGGGAAGTTCTCCTTTATTATTTGTTCAAATAACTTTTCCACTTGTTGTCTTTCCTCTTCCCCTTCTGGTAGCTCTATAATTTGGATGTTGGAATGTTTAAAGATGTCCTGGGGGTTCCTAAGCCTCTCCTCATTTTTTTGAATTCTTGTTTCTTCATTCTTTTCTGTTTGGTTGTTTCTTTCTTTCTGCTGGTCCCTTACATTGATTTGAAACCCAGTTTTTTTCCCATCACTATTGATTCCCTGTGCATTTTCTTCATTTCTCTTATTGTAGCCTGCATTTGTTCATCTAATTTA